GGTCACTGTGGGCTTCTCATTAGATTCTAACTGAACTAATTATTATTATTATTCCAGTAGCTGAAAAAGATTACTAGCTTACTTATGCCAGTTACCTGTATGGAGGCATAAGCCTCCGACCAGCATTCTCCTCCAGGAACCTTCCTACAGTTAATGCCGGTCCCAAGGAGGGCATGGTTCAGCAACCTCATCCCACTGAATACCAACTTGCTAAAAACAACGCTAACCAAAAAAAGATTATTTCAATTTCAAACATTAATCAGGTAGATGATTAGTAATCGGCATAGTCCGTGTTTCGTGAATATATCGGATATAGTAATTAGCTGGATGAAGAAATTCTCTGAGTTTTAGTGCGAAGAAGTGACCAGTAGAGTTCAATCCTGGTTGGGTGTATAAAGTAACCAGCAAAAACAAATGGATCAGGTCGCGCAAAATCCCTAGATTGATAAGAGTTAAACATTAACACTGTTGAGTGTTGGACCAGTGGTCCAGAATTTAAGCGTTCGCGAGCAAGACCGAAGTTACTTGGTTTTTTATTCCTGAGAGTAGAGGAAGTTGTGGATGCTCAGTGCTGATGAGTGCCATACCAGGATGAAACGGCTAAATGTAGTGAACGAGAACACAGGTGGGGCAACCGGATTGTATTTAACGAAAATTACAGAGTTACTCAGTAAAATCGGAAAACCATATCGTAAATCGTTAATTTGCAAAATATCAGTTCATCATATCAAACTGGACTGTTCCTGTTGTAAAACATCAATCTATTATCACTATTCATACGTTTCATACAAATTCCATTGTGTTCTAACTCTTCCTTTCTTGATCTTCCACCCATCTTCTGCTGCCAGACATTACGTTGACACTCACATCATATACTACTTATAAGTAGCTCGCACCACAGTAGTAGTAGTAGTAGTAGTGCGAGTAGTAGTAGTGTAGTGAAGGAGAACACCGGTGAGGGCAACCGAATTATATTTAACGATGATGCCAGGTTTCTAATGATGGTGTAACAATGGCTGATTCATCATTACAGTAATGGATATTTTAATATTCCAACTAATAGATCTTTATGAAGGTAATTTTTTGCAGTATTCAACCCTCACATGAAACTTTTCTCTACAATCAAAATAAATCTAATCACAAAAATAATTATTGTAAATAAATCTGAAAATATCCCACATGATTAGGTAATTCGGACAATAAGAGTAAACATGATTTTTACTATTAAATTTTTCATTGATGAATTTTAAATTATATAAACATTGAATTTTTCATTAATTTAAACAAATACAGAATGATTATAAAATTTTTATGGCAGAAAAAAAAACACTTTTTAATATTTTAGTCACGTATAAATTTTTATTTTCAGATATATATATATATCTATACACATATGTTGTCATGATGATGTAACTTGATGAATAAACTGTATTACTGCACACGCACCCAATTAAATTTTAAGTTGGAATACTTAATTTCTTGAAAAAGTGTCATACAAAGAAGAGAAGGTTTTCTGTAAACTTTATTCAACAAAACCGAAACGCACTGCAGCACGTATGAAGTATGGAAAAACGCTTTAAAAACATCTGATGATTATCTTCCAGAAAACGAAACCGTGCTATCCACGCAACTTCATCAAAAATTATCATTTTGAATCAACAGAAACGAAACGGAGAATAGGAACCAACAAATGAATCATCTCACATATCCGAAATTACAGTTTAACTACTGAAACTAATTGAAATAGGTGTACAGCATAAACCAACAGAATCACTTCAATCAATCCAATCTTTTGTAAACCAAAGGAAAAAAATGACAAAAGAACAGAAAAGCCGAATATCATCTACGAAATAAACTGTTTAAACTTCTTCAAACACTATATCGGACAAAGTGAACGTCCGTAATACACTTACTATACCTCAGTTTGTGTTAGGATATTCATCCAATATCCCAAGAGAATAATTGGTCAATTCTTATTGGTCAATTCCAGGTGGTCAATTTTATGGTCGTCCTAGATATCAATGTCACGTGATCCAGTGTTGTTTCTTAATGGTCGTCTTAAGTGTCAATGTCACAGACTTCGATGCTGTTTCCTATTCGACCGAAATATATAAATACGCATTATCTGTAACGTTTTGTGACCAGGACCAGGACTAGGGACCGGTCCCGGATCCTTAGTTCCAGATCCTGATTCTCTTCTGGGCTCAGACCTCATACTTTCTGGATGCTTGTAGAATACATGTTCTACTTCATATCAAGTCTTCTTATTTTTATTCAATATAGGGGTTGGGATAATCGGATTAGAGTAACATGTCGTGTCGTCGGATCCTCGATCCTCGCTCTCGTTTTCCGACTAAGGTGAACTCGTAATAGTTCAAGCATATCAAATGACGTGTTTACGTTCAGACGTAATAGTTTGTGTTGACTTTGAAAGTTCTCAGATGTGTAACTTTTTAGTTGCTTAATAGTTTCAGAACGTATCACTACGCTATTGTCCCGATAATGTATCTTGTGACAAAAAGAAATCATAAAGAGTGATTTCATATGACGCGATTGAATTAACCCCTAAAGTTGTACAGAACATCGCTTTTATCACTTCATTTTGTTTATCGATTGGATTGATTGAATGAAATCTAATTTCAGTCTTTTAATAACTGAATAATAAACTAAGGTTATTAAAATAATAGTTATGTGTATTTGCAGTTTGTGTCTAACAATGAAACTCAATAATCTCCATAACTTCGCATTGAAAAATCATAAAACGTGCTCACTAATCACCGGCTTCCTGAGTAAAATTTCTCCAAGTTCTGTTAAGAAGTCATGACCAGTAAGAGTTCAGTCCAGTCGGGTGTGAAGCAGTGCCCACTGAAGATAATGGATGAGGCTGAGGAATATAAAAGATTGATTAAAGTTAGTCATTAACACCGCCGTATGCCAGCTCAATGGTCGTGAGGTTAAACGTTCACGCGAGACACCGAAGCTCCTTGGTTCGAGTCCCGATCTGGGGGGTTGTGAATGTACACTTCCAATGAGTCCCATATTTGAACAAAAAGGCCGTTCATAGCTTCCAAGTTTCTGATGGTGATCTAACATTGGTCGATTTATGTTTTCTGCAAAACTCAACTATCTTGCCGATTCTATCATGAAAATTACTTCATTACTCCATTGGTCAATAAAATGACCAAAACTCTTGTTAAACAAAACAAACTCAAGTCAAATGAAATCAAGCAGAGTTTGTTTTATGTATATATGTTATTGTAATCTATTTTAAAATGTTTGCAAATAATTTTAGTCGAAAAGTTATTACATACTGTTGGGGATGTGAGATCCTCAAAACTCGCTGGATAAATGCCTTATTTTGGATTTCACGTTTGCCAGCATGGGCTGATCAGTTGACCTTGAGATTTCATTTCCCACCCAGGAAAATCCATGTCTGTGATTGGCTACTGTGTATTTTAGTGTGCTATTTTTGTGACTGTCCCAAGGACGTTTCTATGATGTATATAAACGAAAGTTGTGTGCTTGATTGTATTGTGATTGCTGGGTGTTGTAGAATATACTTTCTACGCTTACAAAGCCTTCTACCTTAAGCTTGAGATTCAAGGTAGCTTAACCTGGACTCTGTTAATTGTCTCGTTCGCGTTTATCGACTAAGATGAACTCGTAATAGCTTCAAGCGTACCAAGTGATGGACATAACACATACTTAACATTAAGTGAGAATAATTGCAAAATCTGTACAGTTCGGCATAACTGAAAGGAAATTCATTGTATTCACTACTAACATAGGGAGGGATAAAATCATAACTATCCAACCTAGATTGTATTCGCATTTTTCTTTGGAAAACGTGATAAAAATTAAAAGTTGCTTATAAGTAATGCCGTTTGATTACATAACAAAAGGAATGCGCAGTGTTATTGAGTTGGTTTGCGTATCCTTCATGTATTTATCCCATAGGTGGAAGGTTTATCTAGGCAGTCAAAAATCTTAATCCAGTATCATTCACTTTCGAATGGTAGACAGCTTTAATCGCTTTCATATGTTACTACAAGTGGATCTTATGTGCTGACGAAGGTAGTTACTTATTTACTTACTTACTTACGCTTGTTATCCCTAGTGGACAGTAGGCTGCTAACCAGCAGTTTCCAACCTACTCTGTTCTAGGAATTCCCCTTCCTAGTATACTATCCAATTGTTGTTTATTCTTCTCATGTCAGTCTCCGATTCTCGGAAAAAATGTGTGTTTCTTAGCCTTTTACTTTTCCTTTGACCTTGAACACTCCAAATTAGGGTTTTCCTCAGCACCCCATTCTAATTTCTTCCTCCGCTGGAATCTGGTTGTTGCTGATCATATCTGCTCAAAGGATGAGGAGTATTTTCGTAGTTCTCCACATTTCCGACCCCCATACACAGTTATAATAAGAATAATAATACTTAGAAGAACCAAACTTAATTATGTCATCACGCTTCTAATGTCACTTTATCAATTTATCAGAAACAGCAAAATAAAGAACGAGTGAATACACTCACACACACACACACACACACATGAAATACCAGAGAGAGAGAGAGAGAGAGACAGAGAGTAAGTAAGGTATTTCATTGTTTGAATGAAGAAAAACAATAATCATAATAATAATAATACTAATAATTAACTAATAAACAATAACAAATTGATTGTTTCAATAAATAAATTTTGAAAAACAAAAAATAAAATAAACACAACACAACATAAACAAACAAAATTGTGATTGTGTTGTGATATGTTTGTTGGTATTTACTTGTTGTTGTTGATTGATTGAATTGAATTGAATTCACGAAAATTGAACATTGAACCGATTAAAAAAAAACAAACACAAACACGAGTACATACCATTGAACAATGAACAAGATAAACGAGAGAGAGCGAGAGAGAGAGAGGGATAAAAATAAACACAGTAGAAAGGAGAAAAGTTTTTTTTTAAATATACGCACGCACGTACGTATAACAAAAGTCTAAATTATTTTGATGAGATGAATAGAAAAAAAGTGACCACATGATTAGAGTATTCATCAGCAGCAGTAGCATCAACATACCAATCAAATAACAATTTATTTTTTAGAAAAAAATGTGACAATTCTACAAGCATTTGAGGATTAACTGATTGATAAATATTTATTTAGTTAGTTAGTTTTTCTTGAAAAAGGTATGATTTGGGATAATTAATTTTATTTTTCACTGGTATACTTAAGTTAATTAGAATAATATACATTTATACAAGAGATTTATAATGAAAAAATTTGATAATGTAGATAGATATATGTAAGCGAGAGAAATAAATTGATTTAAAAAAGAAATGATAACTTTTAACAATCCGCCTAGGGCACTTCAAAGATTACTGCCAGTCTCAAGCCCCGGATAAAGGAGGATTGGGTTGGGTACATGGGGTGAGCAACCTCATCATGAAGCAATTCAACTCACTAGAGAAAATGTCGCAAACCAGAAAATTAATTCGATTGTCAGCGCCCAATGATCTCCATTAAGGGTAACAGGCGTAAGTGAGTAAGTAAGTGTTGAGGATGCTAGATTCCCAGAACTCGATTGATAAATATATTTATTTTGGATTTATTTCATGGACCGATCAGTTGACCTTGAGATCACATTTACCACCGGTAAAATCCTTGGCTGTGATTGGTTACTGTGTTATTTTAGTGTACTATTTTTGTGACTGTCCCAACGACGTCTCTATAGTGTATAAGTAAACGCAATTTGAGTGCTTGGATTGATTGTGTGTTTGCTGGTTGTTTGTAGAATACAGTCTCTGCACTATATCAAGATTTCTTGCTAATTCGATTTGGTCAAGGTATCACAGTAGCCTACCTGGATGCCAGTTAATTGTTTTGTTCTCGTTATTCGACTAAGGTGAACTCGTAATAGTTTAAGCATCTCTAGAGACGAGCGCAACAGTAAGTAAGTAAGTAAGTCATTTATTTCACACAGAATCAAAATCATATTTGATGAATCAGTAATGCCTATTACTGATTATTGATGAAAACATTGTCTAAGATGGCTTTATAAAAAAAGATGGATTGTAGGTAATAATGGCTCGAACCTTGTACTTTTCGCTTCAAATGTTTTCACATTATTCATTGAAATGTTCTCTAAATTGTTCAATAAGTATCGTGTGTATATTATGATTATATTGTTGGAGGTTTGAACTACTCTGTTGTCATGATACAGGTCTGAATTTTTGATCAGTCACTGTTGGTGGATATTGAATAAATTATCTCTAAATCATCAGTACCTTTCTCGCTATACACAAATATGCTATCCACTGAGAAAATGAGTTGAGATAGCAATTGTTTTGTAGGATTTATTTTTAACTGCTGAGTTCAAGCCTCAGTGTGAATATAAACACTATGATGCATATAAATCTATCACAGAATTCTCAATAACTGGTATGAGACTCATCAACAGTGCGTATCAACGACTCGTGATACTCAATCGATTCGAACCCAGGACCGTCGATCGTACGGGCTAATCCTTAACCTCTGGACCACTGGACCATCATCCAACGGTGTCAGTGTCTAACTATGATCAGTCTAAAGATTTTACTGAACCTCACCGACTGTATTCAATGGATAACCGCCTACGCCCGACTGGCTTGAACTACAATCGTCACTTCTTCTCACTAAGACCATGAGAATTTCCTCACGAAGCTAGCCAGTAGTGATTTTTCATTATAGAGTGATGGGTTCAAATCCTTTGAGTACCAGGAGTAGGGGATGCTCACTTCTGATGAGTCCCATACCAGGACGAAATGGCCATCATTCAGTTCTTCCAAGTTTTATGGTCATCTAACAATGATTGATTCATGATTTCAGTATTGAACAACAATCTTCATAACTTTATATTGAAAAATCTCAATGGGTGTGAAAAGTGACTTCCCGATCGATTTCAATGTTCTAGTCAAAATCCAACTTCGATAAACATGCTTCTGTCAAGATATCAACATCTCAAAATTATTGATTCATTGAGTATTTTCCAACTTAGGTAAACAAGTTTACCTACTCATTCACCTTGTTGTTTGAAGTGTATGGTACTGAGTTCGAGTTCCGAAGTAGACATCGACTTTGGCGAGTATACTCGTCAAGCTAACATTTCCAAAATAGGACGAAACGCATGTACTGAATTCCATGACCAGCCACAGTAAATCGATATTCCACACTGCGTTTTGTGTTTTACTATATTGAGCTCATATTGTGGTGCGAGCTACTTATAAGTAGTATATGACGTGAGTGTCAACGTAATGTCTGGCAGCAGCAGATGGGGGAAGATCAAGAGAAAGGAAGAGTGGGAACACAATGGAATTTGTATAAAACGCATGAACAGTGAAATGTCAGACAACGGATTGATGTTTTGCAACAGGAACAGTCCAGTTCGATATGATCGATTGATATTTTGCAAGAATAACGATTTACGATATGGTTTTTCTATTTTACCAATTAACTCTGTAATTTGCGATAAATACAATTCGGTTGCTCTCACCTGTGTTCTCGTTCACTAGAATATGACTTGTCTCAATCTTCCGACAAAAACTAGTTAACCTTTTCACATGTCTTTTGACCTTGTCTATTATTTACTAATCACGTTGGCTGCTCTTATTTGTGTGTGTGTGTATTGCTCACGTCGTTTATCACATGTCTAGTTTATTTTTGTCTAACTATAAACAGTTAGTCATGCCTCATCGCATTGAGTTGGCTCACTCTCGTTCTCTGCTTCACTTCGCTTCACTTTTCATCCTCACATCTGTCTGTATGAACAAATGCATCAAAATAAACTCATCTAACTGAATCCATCCATATTTGGCGCCTTAATAACTGCCGTTGCCACAAACAATGTTCAGTTAGGCATGATAAACGGAAATTCAAGGAAAGATTTCAATTGTTCCAATAAAATTAGAGTCAGACGGTGGGCCATTAAAATTCAAATATTAATAATCATAGATAATCATGGTAAGATAATTATAATTAAAATCATTAGATTTGTACAACAGAACTTTTTTACCAGACTACAAAACATACTCTAATGAGTCATAATATATATCTTTTCTCAATTGTATGTATAGCGTTTTTTTTAAAGAATGACCTACAAATGTCACAGTAGAGAACGCATTGCTTTATACTTACATTCATGTAGTCCGATTTTAGATACCGATGATAAACATATCAACTTCTAGTTGAATTAATTAGTCAAACTTTCGTAAGCTTAAAATGAACTTCATTGAAACCACGAACCGGTCAATGTTAGACCATCACTAAAAAGCATTCGATTACAGAATTCCTCAGTAACTCTCATCCACAGTCTCATGTATGAGAATCGAGATTAGGATTTTCAAATGCTGGTTCAGTGGTTTAAAGATCAAAGCTCCTAAGGTTCGATCCCCAAAGTATAACAATCCAATCGTTTATTGATAACTAAAAATTCATTCATTCCTTTTTATTATTATTCTACTGATATTTAGTCAACAATGATAATCAATTATCAAAGTTTATTAGAAATATTTATATTTCTTATACACTATTGTCGGGGACGTTAAATCCCCCAGAGCTCATTTGATAAAGGTCCTAAATTTGGATTATGTGGTTTCGTGCATGGGTTGATCAGTTGACTTTGAGATTATATTTCCCAACTGGAAAACCCTTGACTGTTATTGCTATTTTTGTGGCTCTCCCAAGGTCGTTTCTATGATGTATAAATAAACCCGGTATGTGTGCTTGTCAACCTCATATTTTCTGCATGCTTTTAGAATACACTTTCTATGTCTTGTCAAGACTTCTTCCTCTACTTATTAGGGGCCTTGGGACACTCAGATTAGAGTAGCCTATCGTATCATTGGATCATTTATCTTCGCTCTCGTTTACCGACTAAGGTGAACTCATACAAGCATATCAATTAGTGACGAGCATAAGACAAATATATTGAATATATATTTCATTCAACTTGCCTAAACGTTGTTGATATCATTTTTGAAGAAAAAATTATGTACAAAATCAATAAATTTTGAGTAAATAACTTTATTATTAGTATTATTATCATTATTATTATTACTAACACAGATGTTTGAGGGTCATAAAATTGTTTATGATCATTTAACCTTTATTTAAATAAATAAATAATGACTGAAATTTTTATGACTGAATTCTTTTTTTTTTATTTTCATAGTGTTTATAATGACAAAATGATTTTAGTATAAGATAATTTAATTCAAGTTAGGAAACAATGAATAAATAGCTAACTGTCTGTTTCTAGTATGTGATATGGTTTCTTTTCGTAGTGTACACATTCACAATCATATCAGGAGGATGTGAACTGCTGGTTATTAACTGTGAGGACTTCAGTTTTCGATCATTAAATTTGTAGACAATGAATGGTTTTGTCATCAAATATCCTAAAGAAATTTATTTAGTGAGTCTAATTCTATTGGTCAATATTTAAGGTCGTCATCCTAAACTATCAAGTACACTTAATTTTAAATGTTCTTTCT